CAACCTAGCTGAGGGTCAGGGATTCTGGGTGTGGCAGTCCAGCAACATTGGAGGAGCGATGGGATGTGGATCCCGAGGGAAAGAGGTCCTTGGTTTTTCTGGAATGTCTAATTAACCATTTGTAAGCCACTCTGATAGCCTTTTGGCTGAAGAGCGGGGTATAAATACATCATCATCATCATCATAATGTAGACCACGGAGCCAAAGAATTGTAGAGTTGGAAGAACCCCCCCAAAGGTCCTTGACTATGTCTAACCATGTGCCAATCCACTGCTAAAGCATCTGTGATAGATGGCCATGCAGATGTCAATATTTTAAAAAGTTTAGAAATCCTAATGGAAGAAAACTAGATGAGTGTGTGTGCATGAGACCCAGTGTGGTACAGTGGTTTGAGTGTTGGACTAGGAATCTAGGAGAACAGGGTTTAAATTCCCATTCAGCTATGGAAGCCCAGTAGGTGACTTCAGGTGAGTCACACTCTCAGCCTCAAACAAAGACAATGGCAAACCTCTTTGGAAGAAATCTGACAAGAAAACCCTATGATGGGGTCACCTAAGGGTTGCTTTAAGTCAGAAATGACTTGAAGGCAAACAACAACCAACATGTATGTAACAAAATGTCTTTTGTTCACTCCCAGCTCCAGCCATCAGACTTTACAGTAGCAATGTAAATCTTTGTCTATTTCATCTTTGCACACAAGGACAAAGAATTGCTGCAGTTTCTTCCCCACCGAGAGGGGAAAAATATTTATCTTAAGTATATTCTTGTTATACAAACATCCCAAAGTTTTGCAGAGCAATTACTCTATGAAGAAAAACACATGCACATGTGGCTTTTCAGCCAATAAATCATGTTTCCCACAGAGGAAGTAGCCTTTCCTGCACAGAAAACTTAGTGTTTGCACAAAGGACAGTGTCTTTTTCTCTGCATGATCCTTCCCTTAGCAGCACTTTGCGACGTATGAATACCAGGAGAAAACTGTGTAAAAGTCTCACCATTTATTTTTCTAGATGGTGATTCCCGACTGGATGAAAGCCATTATCCCACCTGGAAATAAATACGTGTGGTGTAGTGGTTTGAGCGCTGGCCTATGACTCTGGAGACCGGGGTTCGAATCCCAGCTTGGCCATGGAAACCCACTGGGTGACTTTGGGCAAGTCACAATTTCTCAGCCTCAGGACAAGGCAGAAGAAACTTGCCAAGAAAACCCCATGATAGGTTTGCCTTAGGGTCACCATAAGTCAGAAATGACTTGAAGGCACACCACGACGACAACAACTGCCCCTGCTCTCTACCCCTGTCCCATAAGGACTTCAAATGCAGAGATTTTGGAGACTACCTTGGAGACAGGGCAACTGGTGGCTTCCATGCCAGTGATGTGATGACCCTATTCAAGGTCCTCTCTATCACAAGTCTGTCTCCATGGTGTTGAATCCTACCCCCTGTTGGGAGTTGCAGTGCTTTTGTCCTTCCATAATGTAATAATGGTAGTGATAGTATGTTTTGAGAATCTTTTAGAAATGTACTTTAGCATTGTGAGCTCAGTGCTGGTGCAGAGATAAGTGCTGGTGCAGAGATAAGCTGGGAAGGGAAGCCAGCATGTTAAAGGTCATTTGAGGAAAAGTGGCTGGCTGTAACAATGAAGAAATAGAGACCAAGGTTTGAATCCCTACTCGCCCATGAAACCCACTGGGTGACCTTGGGCAAGTCATATGCTCTCAGCCTCAAGGGAAGGCAATGGCAAACCTCCTGAACAAATCTTGCCAAGAAAATCCCTTGACAGGTTTGCCTTAGGGTTGCCATTAGTTGGAAACATCACCAGCACATGAGGATGGAGCAAGTTTGTATCCTGATGATCCAGAGACTGGGACCCAGAGCAGTGGATTCGAATTACAGGAAAACAGATTCCACCTAAACCTTATGAAAAACTTGCTGAAGGTAAGAGCTGTTCAATAGTGAATATGCTGCTGCCTTGGAGGGTGGTGGAGTCTCCTTCTTTGGAGGCTTTTTAACAAAGGCTGGATGGCCATACCTTGGGAGTGCTTGGATTGTGTTGTCCTACATGGCAGAAGGAGGTTGGACTGGATGTCCCTTGAGGTCTCTTCCAACTTTATGATTCTATAGAGTAGTCTAACCATGAATGATCTGGTCAAGGTGTTGAACTGATTTTGGGAGATAAGAGTTTGGCATCATCATGAGTTCTTTAAACTTTAGGCTGAAACCCAGTGCAGATCCACCTCCTTCCAACATGGGATCCACCAGCTGACACTGTTTAAGAATGCAGCCACACCACCTCTCTATAAACCTTTATAGGGTGCATCTACAGCTATATCTGCACTGCAGAAATAATCAAGGTTGACTCTACTTTAACTACCAAGGCCATGGAAACCCATTTTTTGACCTTAGGCAAGCCACACTCTCCCATCCAAATATTGCCAAGAAAGCCCCATGGTAGGGTTCCCATAAGTCAGAAATGACTAGAAGGCACACAACAACAACAAATGAGAAAGGAAAGAGAAATGTGTTTATTAATTTTAATGAACAAGAGTTAAGACCACCTGAGTTTGAATTATGTGCAATTGAATTATGTGGTTGTAACTTTTGATGGTCAGTTCTGACAATGGAAGTCACCGGACTGGATCTATAATTTTCTTAATAAAGGTTTCTACAACTGAACATGAGTTCCTGAACATTGGTATCCTCCTGGACCTAACATCCCCAAATGGAGATGCCTTGGCTAACTCCAAGTTGTCAAAAAATGGCAGACTCTCCTGCTTTGGAGGTCTTGAAGCAGAAATTAGATGGCCATCTTTCAGGAATGCTGCAGTTGTGTATTCCTGTATGGCAGGGCTAGATCCTAGGCATCCCTTCCAATGCCATGATTCAATGGCTCTAAAACCCAGAGTGAATGCACCACCATCCCAATCGCCTGTGAGCCACAATCCAGCAGTATTTGGAGGTGGCCAGAGGATGCCCATGTTTGGACCTTTCTTGCTTTGGGGACCTGGGGAATAATATAATCATAGAGTTGGAAGAGACCCCATGGGGCATCCAGTCCAACCCTCATTTGCCATGCAGAAAGACACAATCAAAGCACTGCCAACAGATGTCAATCCAGGCTCTGCTTAAAATCTTCTAAAGAAGGAGAATCTGCCACACTCTGAGGCAGCCACATATTCAACTGGGAAGTTAGGGGTGGACATGGAAGATCCATGACATTCCACAAAGGGGTGGGGAGAATGGTCATGGTGGTCAGAAGGTTGTGGTTGTTAGCTGCCTTCTAGTTGATCTCAAACCATCGCGACCCTGTAGATGGGACATCTCCCAGACCCCTTGTCCTCCATTCCTCTGCTTAAGTCTTATAGATTCATGCCCGTGGCCTTCCTCATTGAGTCTACCCATTTGGGATGTGGTCTTCTTCTCTTTCTAATGCCTTCCAACTTTCCAAAGGGCGGGATTGGATTTCCAAAGGGCGGGATATAAATAATTTATTATTATTATTATTATTAT